ATTGGGGGCCTGACAGGCGGCCCTGGGTAATATGATTTTACAGCCAGTTGCCGTCTGGCTAAAGAGCAATTTGCATATTGTTCTAATGGGGGATTAGGTGGCTGGGTTGCCGTGGAAACCAGAGTGAATGGAGGGGTGGTTGGTGCTGGGGGGCGGGCGGCTCTTGCCGTGATGAATGGGGGCCGATGCGCCTTTGAGGGGGGCCGGCCGGAGGCCTCCCTCTCTCTCCCTCCCTCCCTCCCCAGACAGCCAGGCCTTTGTGAAAGATTAACCAGGAGGAAAAAAGGAGATTTCTGGTGTTGGGTTTTGCTTTTTTTTAATTTGCCAGGTTTGTAAATTTGAACAAATGGTTTCTGGAGGGGGGGGGTTACTGAGTCAGCTGTTGAACCTGGGGGGGTAGGCGCTAAACCTTACTTGTTCCACCAGGAGAAAGACCCCCACCCTCCTTGACCTGTGTGTGGGGTGTGTGTCTTTGAGCTGTTGTGTTGCTTTCGTCCTTCGCCGTGTCCGGGCTGCTTCACGTGGCTTCCGAAGTCCGTGGTCGGATACAAAAGGGCTGTTTGGGGCTCAGGCTCCGGGGGGGGGGGCGTGCATCTGTCTGGGTCGCGGGCCCCACAGTTTGGGCCTCCCACCCTGGCTTCCCATTGGAAGCTTTAGTTGTGAGGCTTGGTGTTGCGTGTTTGCCTTTTGCATTTTCACGGGGCTGCCTTGAGGGGCCGGGAGGGCCGGGGAGGCTGCAACCTGCCCCATGGGCCTAGGGGGGACAGGTCCCCCCAGGCCATGGCGTGGGGGGGGGATGAGGGGATCGTGTTCCCAGATCCAGGTTGTGAAACTTCTAGAGACTTGGGGGTGGAGCCGGGGAGGGCAGGGACTTCAGTGGGGTCCGTTCCTGTAGAGTCCACCCCCCCCCTCCAAAAAGAAGAGATTGGATTTGTGCCCGGCCCTTCACTTGGAGTCTCAGAGGGGCTTACAATCTCCTTTCCTTTCCCCTCCCCACAGCAGACACCCTGGGAGGTAGGCGGGACTGGGAGAGCTCTTTCCAGAACTGTCCTTGAGAGAACAGCTCTGACAGAACTACAGCTTGCCCAAGGTCATCCAGCAGCTGCAAGTGGAGGAGTGGGGAATCAAACCCGGTTCTCCCAGATTAGAGTCCGCGCATTTAACCAGTACTCCATGGCTGGCTTTCAAAGCATCCATTTTTCTCCAGGGGAGACTGATCTCTGTCGCCTGGAAGCAAGCTGTCATTCCAGGGGATCCCCAGGTCCCACCTGGAGGCTGGCATCCCTAGCTTAGGGGCAGAGGGGCGTGTGACATTGTCAGGGGAGCCCCTGTGCCGGGTCCCGCCTGGGGGCATGGAGACTGGCCAGGAGTTGCGGCCAGCTTTACTGTCCCGGCCCAAATGGCCAGGTTTGCGGCCTCCACTGCAAAGGCTCTTCCCCCCCCCCCCCCCCGGTCTCCTCTGGAGCAAGAGCTTTGTTGCCTGGGTGCTTCAGAAGCGGGGTTTCCTCGGCCTGCGTGCACCGCGCTGACTCTGGAATCCCGGCCGCACTTCAAAGCACACGGCACCTCTAAAGATTGCCGTCGCCATGATTTTTGAGATTTCAAATCCGACAGTGCCACGCATCAAAAACTCACAAAGCTTTTGAGCTGGGGCAGGGCCCGCCACGGAATCGCTTCTTCCCAGACTCCTTCAGGGCAGGGGACAGAAAGGCTCGCCTGGCCTGTTGGGTCGGAATCTGACGGTCTCTCCAGTTCGCTCCTCCCTCCGTCACGCGCACTGCGGTGTGTTGGTGAGAGTGTGGCTTTCGCACGCTGCCGCAGACGCTCTCTGGGTGACCCTGAGCCAGTCGCTCTTTCTCCGCCCGACCTACCTCACAGGGTTGTTGTGAAAGTAAAACAGGGGAGAGGAAGAAGAGGTCAGCCCCTTTGGGGAGAAGGACGGGGCATGAATTAAGTACATAAATAAGAAGAGGCCGGCTGGAAGGCCAGATGGGGCCATCTTTGAGCTGGATCTGAGCAATGCTCCCTCTAAGCTGTGGAGTCTTGTGAGCAAAAATCCTGCTTTGTGAGCCACTGGCAATAAAGTTGTGAGCGAGCCATTTGGCTGCTGTGTAAATCAGCTTGCTTTGGAGCCTTCCTTTCTGAGCCAAGACAAAAGCGTGTGAGCCGGAGGCTGAAAAACTGGGAGCTGGCTCACAGTAACTCAGCTTAGAGGGAACACTGGATCTAAGCGTGGGTCATCCCCGCTTGCCCCCTAGCCAAAGGAAGTCACGCTTCAGAGTTGGGTGCCGCAGCCATGCGTCAGGTTTTCTGCAACCAGTCCTGTCGTTCTGTGGGAGGGAAGATGCGGCTTCTGCGTTAACTCCCAGAGCCCGGAGGCGAGAGCGGTTGTTGGCGTGCGACCGATGCGCCCGGTTTCTTTTCCCATCCAAACCTGGTTCGGTGGCACTTGGGAGAATTTTCTCCGGTTTGTTGTCAGGAAAGCGAGGGATGGGCGGGGGCCGCTTTGCTTTCCTGAGAACCGGCTTCGCTGCATTACAGAAGTGCAAGTTTGGGAGCGTTTGATCCCGTTCCAGTGCGTGGTGGTTTCAGCCGTCCTCCATTGTTAACTCTGGTTTCTGGCCCTCTTCCCTGAGGACTGGACCTTGTTTAGGTTGGAGTGCCCAGTGTTTTAACAGCTGCCCTGGCCAGGGACAGGCGGTCTGTTGACCCCTCCGATAGGAACTCTCTGTGGCTCGCGTGTTCCGCTTGGTGACCACGCAGGTTGTGTCCTGAGTAAGCTGTGCCCAGTTGTCTGTTTTGTATCAGTAGCTGTGCATGCACCCACAGGGTTTTGAGGCCCTGAGCTGCTCAAATTGTGGCTCTGGGGACTCCACCAGGCATCGGCCAGGGGTTTCCAGTGCCATTGGGGGGGGGTGGTGAAGGATGGGAACTTGGTTTTCTTTTGGAAAACAAAGGAGAGGTTCCCGGATGTATACAGTTGTGTGAAGGCCCAGAACGGCCGGACAGGGAGCGTTGCTTGTTGATGAGAGAACCTCCAGTTGCCCCGCACTCTGGCACGAAGCAGCCCTCTGAAGCTTGAGAGGTTTCACCAGTGCCTGCGCCCTGTGGTTTCTTTTTTTTAAAAAAACCCTGAAGATGCTGGGAATTGCGGTCTGCCACAGAACCATCTTGTGAGGGCCCTCCATGACATTGCTTTGTCAAAGAGTGATTAACACACGGAGTTCACTGCCACAGGAGGTGGTGGCGGCTACAAGCCTGGACGGCTTCTAGGGGGAATTGGATAAACATCTGGAGCAGAGGTCCATCAGTCGGTATTAGCCACAAGGTGTAGATAGGGACTCTCAGCCTGGGGCAAGGGATGCTCTGTATTCTTGGTGCTTGGGGGGGGGCAACAGTGGGAGGGGCTTCTAGTGTGCTGGCCCCATTGGGTGGACCTCCTGATGGCACCTGGTATTTCTGGCTCCTCTGTGACACAGAGTGTTGGACTGGATGGGCCACTGGCCTGATCCAACATTGGCTTCTCTGATGTTCTTATAGGAACTCTCGGTCTGGGGCAAGGGATGCTCTGTCTTCTTGGTGCTTGGGGGGGGAGGGCAACAGTGGGAGGGCTCCTAGTGTCCTGGCCCCACTGCTAAACCTCCTGATGGCCCCTGGTATTTCTGGCCACTGTGTGACAGAGTGTTGGACTGGATGGGCCACTGGCCTGATCCAACATTGGCGTCTCTTATGTTCTTATAGGAACCCTCAGTCTGGGGCAAGGGATGCTCTGTCTTCTTGGTGCTTGGGGGGGGGGCAACAGTGAGAGGGCTTCTAGTGTCCTGGCCCCACTGCTGGACCTCCTGAGGGCCCCTGGTATTTCTGGCCCCTGTGTGACACAAAGTGTTGGACTGGAGGGGCCACTGGCCTGATCCAACACTGGCTTCTCTTATGTTCTTATAAGAACTCTCAATCTGGGCAAGGGATGCTCTGTCTTCTTGGTGCTTGGGGGGGGGTCAACAGTGGGAGGGCTTCTAGTGTCCTGGCCCCACTGGTGGACCTCCTGATGGCCCCTGGTATTTTTGGCCACTGTGTGACAGAGTGTTGGACTGGATGGGCCATTGGCCTGATCCAACATTGGCGTCTCTTATGTTCTTCTCTGGTTGCATGGGCTTCTCTGAAGATGTGCGTGGCCACCCCTCCCTCTCCTCTTGAATGTATAGAATAGCCATGCCCAGCACTTACTGACCATTCCAGTTTCGGTTAAACTGTGTCCTGATGCAGACATCAAATATACCTGGGATGCCCTTAAAAAAACCGTCAGAGTCTAGCTGGATTTCCAGATCACATTCTGATCCCACCTTTCCTTGTTTCCTTTAGGCAACTCCAGCCTGCAGGGTTGTTGTTTTTTTTGGGGGGGGAGCCCAACTGTCTCAGTCCTTGTCCTTTGGCTCCAGGTTGCAGCCTTTGCCACGTCTTTTAGTAAGAAAGGGAAGTCCGGCTGTTCTCAACCAGGGACAGGGCCTTCTCGGCGCTGGCCCCGACCGGGTGGAACTCTCTGCTGAATAACATCAGGGGCCTTGTGGGATCTGATGCAATTCCGCAGGGTTTGTAAGGCAGAGATATTCCGCCAGGCTTTTGGTCGAAGGCAGCAACAGGAGGTTGAGACTGGCACCCTTTCTCCCTTTCCCCCCTCTTTGGGGCCCCCGCATACCCTTCCCTGCTCTGCTGTGCGGGACAGCGGTGTTGGCCGGCAATGGAGGACTATTGCCATTCTGATTGGTTCTCATTTCATGTTTCTTATATGTGATTTTAATTGTATATCAGCCGTAATTTTTAACCGTTCATAAGTGTTGTGAATCGCCCAGAGCCTGCTCTGTAGGGTGGGCGATTCATAATTCTAACAAAATAATAAAATAAGTGAGCCATCTGTTCTGCCTTCCAGGCAGCCGTGTCCCGGTTCTCTCCGTTGTGCTACCTGCAGTGATGCTTAAACGGCCTCTCTCTTCTCTCCCTTCCAGACAGAGATCGCTAAAAGGCTGAACACGATCCTTGCCCAGATTATGCCTTTCCTCTCGCAAGAGGTAAGAGTCCGCTTGTGTTGGGTTTTGAAAATCTGTTTTTAGGAGAGATAAAATAGCTTAGCAGTGCCAGAGAAAAATAATTCAGACCCAGAGTCCATGTGTGTTTAAAATAGAAAGTTTTTACTACATTCTAGCATAGGGAAGGGTAACTGGGATGAAAATAACAACAGAGCTAAATTCCCTACATCTTTACACTACAAAGACAAGACTAGAAGAGAGGTAATGGCTGCTCTTCTTTCTGCTTCAGAACTCCAGACAAAGAAGGGAAGAGGAGCCATAAAATGCTATAACACCTTGACACTTTACTTCCAATGAAACACCTAGATCAGGGAGAATTATCCCGGGCTTGTAGTCCTAAACTAACATTGGTTACATGAAACATGTGATTTCCTGTGAGCAACACAAACAAACATTTAAGCCCATATATACTGAGTGTAATTTTAACTTGTAATACCCAACAGCTTGGCTGGCATGTGGACTGCTGGTGGTGGGTGAAGGGAAAGCGGGGCTTTGCAAGTAGATGGCTCGGTGGCCATCTGACGGCAGGGCTGAGTCCGTGGACTTGGGCAGATCACGAGAGGGAAGGCAAGAAGGGTTGCCTCAAGGGCTTCGTTCTCGTGGCCCTTTCTGACACGCCCAGGGAAATGCCGACCGCCGCTTTGGGGCCAGGCAGCCATTTTTCTCCTGGACACTTCGGCTGAGGATCCTGGAGGGTTTTTTTCCTCTTCTTCTAGGCTTGGAAAAGGGGTCACTGGGTGGCTGTGTGTCTGCGCGGGAGTATTTGTGAATCTCCTGCATTGTGCAGGGGGTTGGACCCGATGACCCTTCTAAGTAAGGAGAGAGGTTTCTTTAAATAAAAACAGAACCGAAGTCAGATTTGCTAGGGAGAAGCTTTTCCAAATGCAGCAGCCAGAGCGTTTCGGTCTGACCATGTGCAGAGCAGCGTTCCCTCTAAGCTGAGTTAGTGTGAGCTAGCTCACAGTTTTTTAGCCTCCGGCTCACACGTTTTTGTCTTCGCTCAGGAAGGAGGGCTCCAGAGCAAATGGATTTATGCAGTGGCCAAATCGCCCGCTCACAACTTTAATGCCAGTAGCTCACAAAGTGGAATTTTTGCTCACAGGACTTCACAGCTTAGAGGGAACAGTGGTGCAGAGTCACCCAGAAGTAAGTCCCTGCAGGTTAGGGGGCTTTATTGCCAGGGAACTGCACGCAGGACTGCATCCTTGAATGTCTGAAGCTGCCATTCTGAACACCAGCCGGCCAGAGGGTCCCAGGGAGCCTTTCCTCTGGAGACATGCCAGTGCCTGAACTCCTCAGGAACCCGCATCTTGCCAAGTGTGTGCCCTGCTGCTGAGATATTTGCCCCCCCCACAAAAAAAAGAAGTCTGTAGAGAGGAACCCGTACTCTGTGAACTGTGTGCCACCTCCAGCATTTTAGTCTTGAAGGTGCCACAGAATTCCTGGTCCTTGGGAAAACTTGTCCGACTTCTTCACTGTTTGTAATACGTTCGGGCAGGAATTTGGAACAGGCATCATATGGCCTTTTGAAAACAGAAACATAGTGTTTACAATAAGGTTAAATACAGGGTGTATAAACAAAGCCTCAGCTTTACAGTTGTGGCCTAGCTCAGATTTCTTCACGAGAGGAATTTCCTTCACCAGAGAATATGTGTGTCGCACAGGACTTGAGCTTCCTTGGAAAACGGAGTGGACTGAAAATTCAGATATTTAGGGGGGATTGCCTGTCGCTCTGCATACCCGTTGTATCCACTTGGTTACATATTTTATATGGTTATATACGTTTCTTGTGTGTAACTCTGCCATACAATAAACAAAAATGGTTTATCTGTTGACGAGGAATTTGGACGGACAGACGGGTCAAAGATACATAACTTATCACAACTTAGAAGTAAAAATCATGTTTTGTGTGTGTGTGTGTGTTAATTCAGATAAGACTGAAGATAGCAAGTCGAATGACTAAGCTTGAATGTTTTCTGTTAACACAATTTCCAGCTAGGGAATTGTCTTACAGTTACGGGTAATATTGTGGTGAGGACTGGCCATTGCAGTTGAGTAGTAGAAATAAAAATTGATGGTGACGCCCAGCCACAATTTGTGGGCACCCAAGTTTCCCTAATGAGAGCTACGTTTTCTGCACACAGAAGAGGTCTTGCAAGGGGCAATCCAGTGCTCAAGACGTCGTATCCGTTGACCTATTGAGCGCATCGATTCCCCTTTTTCTTTGATGCGTCTCCAAGGAGATGCCGATGCCACAAATTGGCTTAATTATCTTGGCTTCCCTGCCGGGGCTTTGAGAATTGTGGTTCCGGGTGCGTGCCGAGGAGAAGTCACTGTGAAGGTTTCTGTGTGTGTGTGTGTGTGTGTGTTGAACTCGTGGTTAGAGTTCCCAGAATTCCACTGGGGGCAGAAGCCCAGACATCAGAACTGGCCTTCAGATGTTGCCGTGTCCTTGGAAGGAGGAGGGTTTAACCCAGTTTTTCCTCTCTCTCTCTCTCTCTTGCATTTCCGCAGCACCAACAGCAAGTGGCTCAAGCTGTTGAGCGTGCCAAACAGGTCACCATGACCGAGCTGAACGCCATCATCGGGGTACGTGGAGTTCCCAATCTGCCTCTCACCGTGTGTATATCCCTTTATTCCTATCATTATTCCTGCAAACAGAGACAGTCCTGCCCTGTGCTGGTAGTTTCGGGGAAGGGCGGCGCTTGCAAAAAAACAAAAACAAAACCCCACCACAAGCTAAAACAGGAAATTTTCTCTCTCTAGCCAGACGCTTGCCTGGCCTCTGGGGGACTGTCGATCGAAATGCCTGGTTTCGATTTCTCTGAACAGATGTGAAGAAAGGCCTTCTCCATGCAGGCTCCTGGTTATCCGGGGTCCCAAGCTTTCTGGGAGTTTTCTGATCTTATCTTAGCTGTCCAAACAAGGATTTCTCTGCCCTCCTGTTTGTTGGCACAACAGCGGACAGTCAACTGTCCAGAGAGAGGCTGTTTCCAAAACAGAGATTGGGTTCAGATCAGGGGTCGTTTCGTAGAAAAAGAGCTAGGGGAACTCATTAGCATGACTCATTAGCATATGCCACACCCCCTGACATCATCGGAAGTGTGTCATAAGGCCACACCCCCCGCCCCCAACGGTCCCGGCCGCCACCGGCGGCCTTGCAGCTCCACTGCCTAGCCCGGCGGTGGACCTGCAAGGCCGGCGGGAGTGCGAGGAAGCCCCGCCTAGGCCCTCCCTGGCCCCAGGCAGGCAGGGGTAGGAAGAGGCAGGGAGGAAGCAACTTACCCTCCCTCTTCTCCTGCCTCCTCCTGGCTGAATGAGGGCTGGAAGCGGGGCAACCGGAAGCGGGGGGCGGGGCTTCGTCATGTGCCCCCCCCCGTACCTCACCCGGGGGAACTGCGATCCCCCCGAAATGACCTCTGGTTCAGATCCTAGGGCATAGAGGCCGAGGCCTTCCCCTGATGTTGCCTCCTGGCCACAGGTTGACTGCCTCTGAATGTGGAGGCTCCCTTTGGTCGCCATGACTACGGTAGTATCCTACTCTCCTAGTAGAGTAGACCTGTCATCCATGAATCTGTTTAACCCCCTTTTAAAGCTGCCTCTGCTTGTGGCCATCACTACATCCTTTGGCAGCAAACTGCACGTTCTAATCACTCGCTGTGTAAAGTAGTATTTCCTTGGGTCTGTCCTGAACCTACTGCCCATCGGGTTCACTGGGTGGTGCCCAGGAGTTCCAGCATTCTGGGTAAGGGAGAAAAGTTTCATAGTACAGCGCAAATCTTTGCAAAAAGAATCTGCTACAGGGAAGCCTGCTGCATTTCTCTGTAGCTTTCAGTGGTTTTATGGGGGGGGGGGAGTCCGGCTGCCCTCTGCTTAAAAATTGGTCTTAAACTGCAAGCCCTTCTTCAGGCCTGGGCGAGGGCAGGTCTGTCTCTGTTATACTGTTGAAGTGCAATTTGCTGTGGAGTTTGGGGTGACTTGGTGTGGCCGGGCCTTGACTCATTCTTGCAGCCTCCTTCGGCAACGTATTTATTTATTTATTTTTATTGTTATTGTATTTATACCCCGCCCTCCCCGCGAACGGGCTCAGGGCAGCTGGACACTGGCCGTCCCTCAGGTGTTGCGCTGTCTTGCCGCTTCTGCATTGATCCAGATGCTGGCAGGGATACTTCAAACCAAACACCTGTCTGATAAATGCTACCCCTAATTTGTTTGTGTAGGGCGAGGGGCAGTGAGTGCCCTGCTGGTGGGGGGGGGGGATAGTTGAGCTACTGGGTATACTCCAGCCTGGATTGCTATGGGGCTGTTTCGGCCACTCCAGTTCTTTGTGGCGTTGCAGAAATGCCATTGGGTACTCGGTGCTTCCGTTGCTGAACGGGGTTATTTTGGGGGGAAAGGGGAATTAGTACGAAGCCACGACACTTTTCCTGGCTGCAAAGGGTATTCCTTCGTGGGCCATGCTCTTTCTGGCACACTGCTTTTGAATTGTGCAGATGCTTGATGCCTGGTTCCTTTTGGGGCCCCCACCCCACCTCTTTGTTTTGCATTGATCCCAGCGCCCCCGCGCCCCCCCCCCCCCCCCGTGAATGATTATCGGAGCCTCACATGTGGTTTGGGTTTGCCCCCGCGACACTCGATTTCGGTTTTCCCGAATGGCTCTTGGCGCTGGAGAGCTTCAGCCCGGAGATCAAAGCGCGTCGGTGGGGGAAAACGTGCAGTTGTGTCTCTGGCCATTCCTGCAGGCGAAGGAATGTGGGGACATGTGGAAGCACTTTGAAGGATGCAGGCGTGCGAGGGGTGTGGGGCAGGGGGGGGGGCGCCCCTTTCCCTGGCCTTTGAGATGCCTTGCGGTTAAGACACACAACTGCAGGGGCCTGTCCTGCTGAGAGGTCCTTGGGTGCCACAAATGCACACAGTGCCTGCTGCCGTGCTGTCCTCTCCTGGAAGGAGTGGGCACCCCCGCCCAGTGCCTGCACAATTTGCTCATGCGAATTTTCCTTGTGGGGGTGCTCACCTCCACACCTCCTCAAGGAGCACTTTGCTTTTTTTTTAGAAGCAGAGGAGCTAATGCAAAGCGTGCAGTTTGTGGCCCCTTTGAACGCCTCCGTTAGTCTGGCAGACAGAGGTGGGAAGAAGGTGGCATTCTTCTGCCCGTGTGTGGTGTGTGTGTGTGTGGGGGGGGCGAATGCCTCATTCGCCTTCTGCTGGTCACCGGAGGTGGTGGGGGTGCCAGTGGAAACTGCTTTGGGGGCAGCCAACCCTGAGGACTGCCTTGTCTGGTGTTGCAAGGAGGGTGGGTAACCAGGAGCCGCTGGGTGGGGGGGCAGAGCAGGTAGTTCTTTCTCCCCAGTGCTCACTGTGTGGTCCAAGACAGGCTTGGTGTGGCTTATTATCGTAGAATCATAGAAAGAGTTGGACGGGACCTTGCAGGTCATCTAGTCCAACCCCCCGCACTCTGCAGGAGCAAAGCTGAAAGACAGCCCTGCAACTTACCCGAAAGAGGGTCGTCCATCCTCCGCTCGAAAACGTCCAGCGAAGAAGCATCCACCCCCTCCCGAGGCAGACTGTTCCACTGCTCAACCACTCTGGCAGTTAGGAAGTCTCTCTGGATATTTAGCCGCCATCGACTCCCTTGTCATTTCCACCCATTAGATCTAGTCCGGAGCAAGAGAGAATAGATCCGCTCCATCTTCTACAGGACAGCCCTTCAGATACTTCAGATACTTGAAGACTGCAATCGTGTCCCCTCTAAGCCTTCTCTTTCCCAGGCTAAACAGACCCAACTCTCTCAGCCTTTCCTCCTAAGACCTGGTTTCCAACCCTCTCACCATCCTGGTTGCCCTCTTCTGCACACGCTTTGCCAGCTTCCGGGAGGCATCGCATAGCCCCTATGGTTTTAAACGGCACCTGACCATCTGCCATACGGTGGCATAAACTGCTTGGCAGGTACCCCAGCCAGGCATTCCTTGGGAGCCGTGTCGGAGCTCTTGGGATGAAAGCAGAAGGCAGGAGGGCGTTGGGCTGCTTCTTGGCCCATTCCAGCGGCTGGAAGCAGTGCCTGGATTTGATTGAAACAACTAAAGGCCTAAATCCTCCTCTCTTGGCAAGGCTGAAGCAGCGTGCCACCCGCTCTGGGCATGAAGCCAGCAGGGTTTAATGGTCCCACTGGGCGACAGCTGTGCGGAACCAGAGCTCTGGACCGTCTCCTGCATTTCTCCTCGGACTCCTGGCCCCTGATCCCCCAATTGCTCTCCTGTGTGGATTGAAAGGGAATTCAACTTGGGGCTCTGGCTTGTTTCGTCGGTCAAGGGAAGCAACCAAGAAACGTCTGCTGTCTGGGAGTTAGCAAGAGCTCTCCGGGAGGAGACGGGGTTCCGGCACTGGATCACGTGCCCCTCTGTTTGTTTCAGGACCCAGTTAAGAAAAAATAGAAGGGGACGGGGGCACAAAGCTGTTGTTGCGATGAAGAGAGCAATAATTACAAACAAAAATTGAAGGCGTTGTGATCCCATACATAAGAAATTGTAGACCCTGCACATTGAGAGCCGGTTTGGTGTGGTGGCTAGGAGCGCGGACTCTAATCTGGGAGGAGCCGGGTTTGATTCCCCAGCTGCTGGCGTGTGATCTTGGGTCAGTCGTCATTTCTTTCAAAGCGGTTCTCTCAAGGGCAGTGCTTGAGAGAGCTCTCTCAGTCCCACTTACCTCCCAGGCAGTGTTCCCTCTAAGCTGCGTTAGCGTGAGCTGGTTTACAGTTTTTTAGCCTCCGGCTCTCACATTTTTGTCTCCGCTCAGGAAGGAGGGCTCCAGAGCAAACTGATTTATGCAGTAGCCAAATCGCTCGCTCATGACTTTAATGCCAGGAGCTCACAAAGTAGAGTGTTTGCTCACAAGACTCCACAGCTTAGAGGGAGCATTGCTCACAGGGTGTCCGTTTTGGGGAGGGGAAAGGAGATTGTAGGCTGCTTCTGAGACTCTTTCAGGCAGTGAAGGGTGGGTTATAAATCCAGTCTCCTCTTCTTCTTTTTTGCTGATGCTGCGTCGGGGGATCTGTTAGTCACTCGTCTCCTGATCTCGACTCGCAGAACACTCGAAGAGCACAGTTTCCACCAGGAAGATCGGTTCGGGTGGAGTTGCGTGTCGGTCCGAAGCAGTAGAGCAAAGCTTCGAGTCCAGCGGCACCTTTAAGACTGACCGAGTTTTATTCTGCGGGTAAGCTTTTGTGTGTACACACGAAAGCTTACCCGCAGAATAAAACTCGGTCGGTCTTAAAGGTGCCGCTGGACTCAGAACTTCGTTCTCCTGCCGTTTCTACCAGAGAGGTTCGAGGGGCAATAAGTCGCAGGCCCTCTGAAGAATTGACAGCAAAGCTTGTTGGCAGGGCGAGTTTTTATGTATGGGTTCACAGCGACTGTATTCCAAAATACTTACTATTTCTCTCTTCATCGCATTGGTAGCCCCCCCTCCCCGCCCCCCCCCTTTCCGCGTCCCAGCTGGTCCATCCGGATGCCTGAAGAAGTCAGTTCCTGAGAGCCAATTGTGGAGTAGTGGTTAAGTGCGCGGACTCTAATCTGGGAGAACCGGGTTTGATTCCCCACTCCTCCCCTTGCACCTGCTGGTGT